TGAAGTCAATTCATTATTGCTAAATGTTTTGATTATTTCTAATTTTTCAGTGTTACAAGCAGTAGTACAGTGGACTTCCTTTTAGTTAAATCTTCGAGTATTTCCATGAGTTTTATCCCTTATGATAAAAAACTGGAAATATAATTACTGAGTCAAAAGTTATTCAAAATGTAATATCCTCCTGATATAAAATTTAATAGTCTCATGATATTATCCTCCAGAAAGATTATAATAATTTATAGGTTCACTAGCAGTACATAAGATCTCAAAAGACAAATGGCCATTATAATGAGCATTTGCAAATTTCCCTTAATTTCCATAGTTCTAAAATGCCTCAGTGTTAGTTTGTATACTTTATACAAATCAAATATTTCATGTCATTAACATAATAGGAAAAGATTGGTTAAAGACATGTCATTGTCTGAATGTGATTTTTGAAAACTCATAGAAAGGAGAGGTTATAAGAAATTTAAATGCTGTCAGTTCTCATTTATCTAGAATGTAAATATTAAAAAAAGTTAGAATGAGTAAATAATGTAATTTTCTACTCCTTCCCCCCCACCCCCCTTTTGCAGTAGACAGGTAGGGGCAATCGATAAAGATTTAGCCCAGTCTTGGACACTTTTTCCACCTTTAGTATTTTAAATAATAACTAATTTTTTTTAATGTTGATGTACAATATGCATATAGAAAAGCATGCATATCAGATGTTCAGTTCACCGTTTTGTTTTTTTTTACAAGTGTGACGTCTTGAAACTAGCAGTCTGATTGAGGCATAGAACTCCCTTTTCACTAATGTTCATTTTAATAACTCAACCAAATTTTTTTTAAAAGGGAAAACAAAAAAATTGATTATTTTATGAACATAGAGGACAAATTTTAAAATGTATTTTTATAGGGTGTATTATATTTTATAGTTTTAAATATTGGTAAATCATTTTTTGGAGACATCGCTGAACAAACTAAAAATATATAAAGTGAAAATCCTATTTCCCAACCAAACACAATAGTGTTTTAAATTGTTAATGTTCTTCAGCCAGCTTCTATTTTCCTACTCTCTTTAGGATTCCTCAAATTCAAAACTTTTTTACAACCATTCCCTCCATTCACCTTGAATCTCTTTTTTATTTCTACTGTGCTGTATTATACATTTGGTATTTTTAAATTCTACAAAGTTATTCCATGGCATATTCCTTTGATTTTGATATGAAGGTCATCATACCTGAATTAGCTTCATTCTTTTCCTTAGTTACAATTCTTAATTGTATATAGCTTTATGTGATGTTTGATGATAATGGTGATGATGGAGTTGTGAGGAATAGCTGTAGGTCAAAGTAACCATGTACTGATTTATGTATTTTGTGCCAGGCACTGTGGTAAGTGCTTTGAAATCCTTTTTAATGGTTTTTTTTTTTTTTTTTTTTCCGAAAATCTGTAAGACACTTGGACCTCTCAGTATAAATCTTCATCCACTGTTTAGGTTATTTTATTAGAAGTAGAGACCTAAATCCAAAGATTTGAATATTTTTAATCTTCATTTATTTAAGCAAAGGATGTGGAAATTTTCAAGGTTCTTGATATTTTTTTTTTTTTTTTTTGTCTTTTTCCGTGTCCGGCAACGGATCGCAACCCTCAGTGTTGCCCCCGCGCCTCGCTCAGCCAGTGAGCGGGAACCGGTCTGTATGTGGGATCCGAACCCTCGGGCAGGAGCGCCGCCGCGCTTCCCAAGCGGCGCACTTATCCAGTGCGCCACCGGGCCGGCCCCTCTTGATATGTTTTATATGCACACACGTATACAGGTCGAGCATTCCTAATCTGAAAATCAGAAATCCTCCAAAATCTGAAACTTTTTGAGTGCCAACATTGTGCTCTAAAGGATATGCTCATTGGAGCATTTTTGATTTTCAGATTAAATATGCTCCACTGGTATGTATTCTACAAATATTCCATAATCTGAAAAAGTCTAAAATTCAAAACATTCTGGTCCTGAATATTTCAGGTAAGGAATATCCAGCTTGTATATACATATTGAGAAAGAGAGATGGAGATGGGATTAAGGTTGTTTTCTGGAAAGTTATGCTCATTTACAGCTTGATGAAAGTTATTGTCTTGTTTCATCCATCCAAATATTAGCATTTTTGAAAAGTTTGCTATTTTGACTTGTGAGAATGTTTTGTTTTTATTTGCCCCCCCCCCCTTTTTTTGATAACTAGTGAAGTTGCTAATTTTTTTCAAGTTTACAAATCATTTTCTTTTCTCTTGTTGTCTTTCATAGCCTTTGCAGATTTTGGGGGCATCTTTCTGTTCTTAATGGCTTGAGTTCATTGAAGATTAAGTTTATTAATCATCTGTTTATTTGTGGCAATCTGTATTCCAGTTTATTTGCCTTTTAATTATGATTTTCAGCATAAGTTTAAATATATCTTTAAAGATAGTTCATATCTTTAAGAAGGCTAATTTTATTTATAAAGAGAAGTGTATGAGTGTAAGCAACTTGTTGAAAAATTACTTTATAAACCCTTTGATGGATGTCTGTGTGTTGAGCCAAGGACTAGTTTGAGGTTGGAGAATTTCCAAATTGTAAAAGTTTTAACCCATGTGTTTAGAAATGTGAATTCATATAGTAGGCTAAGTTTATATTTATGGAAAGAGCTAATATCAATGCATTAACTGACTTTAGTGTACCTAGTTGAGTTAGTTTCTGTTGTAGGGTATCATCTGAGAAAGATAGCCACGCGTCTGTTTTTTGGAAAGCCTTTTATAGAGCTTTGTATATGGTTTTTGTTCATGTTCAGTTGTTACAACTAGATATTTTGCTACCTTAAACTTTAGTAATTAATTAAACTTTAGGGTTGGTAGAGATCCCATTATTGCTCATTACTTTTATGAACAGATTGAATCATAAAAGTAATTCTTAAATGAGGGTACTTCAAAAAGTTTGTGAAAAGATGCAATTAAAAAATAATATGAGTCTTTCCCTGAACTTTTTGAAGACCCTTCATATTTTGATTGACCAATATTTTAATTACTTTTTTGAGGTTAGCATATATTTTAATATTATTTTCCTTCATTTGCTAGGATTTTTGTGGATAGGGAAGGCAGAGTGGAAAGGTTTAAAAACTTGAAATGGATACTGTTGGATGGGGTCAGTCTATTGATGTGGAGAATTGAGTTAACAATTGTGAAGTTTTTCTTATTGTAGGAAGTTTTTTTCATCCTATTTGGTGATTTAGCCTACGTGCATGGGGTTCCCAACTTTCTTTATCTTATGATTTGGTTATTGCAAAGCATGAGATTGGTTCCAAATTATAAAATATTCAGTCCCATGAAATTTAGATGAAAGTACATGAATTTATCTGAATTGAGCTATGTGAACTATGCAGAAAAAAAGGAATATTTTATACACATATCTTTGTTTACAAACTTACTTGATTTTAAAATACCTCAGGTACTCATTCAGGGGATTTGTACTCTCTCCTGGAGATTGTGATTCAATAGGTCTGGGACTTCAGTGGGCTCTGGAAATCCATATTTTTGGTAAGCTCTCTGGGTGATTGTTGTCATTGGGCTAATTTGGGAAGTACTTAACTAAATAATGAAACACTGTTCTACCTCATTCATGTATTTGAACAAAATATACAAAAATCATTTCCATTTTGAAGTTTACATTCTGATTGGGAGAGAGATGACAAACTAAAATAAAAGTAAATTGAGCATATGGCCAAGAATAATGTAAGCCTGGAGAAGAATCTGTTATACATTTGGTTGGTTATAGTTGCTAAAGCATGCCTAAATGTGAACATAGGGACCTGATGAATGAGATTTTCTCTAATTTTTTAAGGTACGTATTTTCAGGATAGCAAAGCCAATAATACCTATTGTTTAAATGAAAAGACTTTTATGGTATTGGGTTTATTCAGAAATTTTCCCTAAAAGATTTTCCAGGGGAAATTTTGACTTAAAGTGATTGTTGCAATTCCCCTCTGTTTTTAAATATTTCAGTTGTTAGCTTTGTTATTTTTCAGACATTTAGAAGCAAGTTGATTTCTAGAGAATACTTGTTGGCCCAAGTGAAATATTCCTTTTGGTTTAGTTTTGCTACAGCTTTTCACTGAAATTTCTTTTGCTAAATGGTAGAACCAGTATTATCGCAATTTAAAAAGCAAAAGAATAGTTAAATGGCAAATTCACAAAGTACTTTTTCACTTATTCTCAAAAATATATCTGCATTTTGATAGCTTTTAATTTAATATTTGAATATTTGAATACCCATGTATTTGTGCTTGGAAATTAGAGATGGTTTTCTTTTTGTTGTAAGTGAAATCTTGAAAGATTGGCTTATTTAGATTTCCTGGCTTGATTTTAGAAGGCAATCTTCTAGGCTTAGGATTCTTAGAAGAAATTATTGTTGTTATAGCAGAGTCCTTAATTTTAAATAGTTTACTGCTTTTTGGAGCCATTTGAATGGCTTATAATTTGTGAGAGGAGGAATCTCCTTTTTGTTTATGATGGAATGTAGTTTAACTCAGCCACATGAAATGTTTTCCACTTGGTCTCCTTCCTGGTGCTACTGTAAACATGGGAGATGGGCTAGACCCTCACAGCTGTGGCTGCAGCGCCACCTGGCAGCATTAAAACGGCTGCCGGGACTGAGAGCCCCTGAAAGGAACGTGGTTATCACTTTGTGGTGGTAGCCCCTGGTGAGTAGAAGACCATTTTTTCAGACCAAGTTAAATTTATTTAACATGTGAAAAGTTAACGAAATTGAATTTATAGTAAAGACTAAAATCCTTACCGTTGGACTGTTTGAACACTGTTCTAAAAAACTGACCCTTATGTTTAAATTGTATTTTCCTTACATATATGTAAAGCCTTGGAATAGCTGGATCCTATTCTGTCCTCTGTCTTGTTACTGGCACTGTAGTTGAAGATGTGAGTGGAAGAAAAACTGTCTGAAATAATGTCACTTTTCAATGTTGTCTTTCTCTTTCTCCTGCCAGGGAGGACATGTATGCCCAGGACTCTATAGAGCTACTAACAACATCTGGTATCCAGTTTAAAAAGCACGAGGAGGAAGGAATTGAGACCCAGTACTTCGCAGAACTTCTTATGACTTCAGGAGTGGTCCTTTGTGAAGGGGTCAAATGGTTGTCATTTCATAGGTAAAAAGATTGCATTGAAAATGGCATTGGTGGTTCAGTTTCCTACCTGCTTCACACTTGCTTGGGTCACTATATCAGCATTTTCAGGCTTCTAGAAAGAATTTACTGTCATATCTGTCTCCTAAACTCTTATGAGACTAATGTTGGTCTGCTGAAAGGTTATTTTGTGATATGGTATCCATTTTAGTCTGTGAGAGGCAGTGTCACATAATGGAAAGAGTATACACGGGCCGGCCTGGTGGCGCACTTGGTAGAGTGCGGTGCTTGAGAGTGCGGCAGCGCTCCCGCCGAGGGTTCGGTTCCCATATAGAGACCGGTCCGCTCACTGGTTGAGCGCGGTGCGGGCGCGACACTGAGGGTTGTGATCCCGTTGCCGGTCGCAGTACGGGCGCGACACCGAGGGTTGCGATCCCGTTACCGGTACCGGTCACGAAAAAAGACAAAAAGGGAAAAAAAAAAGAAAGAGTATACACTAGAAAAACAAAAAGACCCTGGTTTAAATCCAGCAATGCCATTTGGAATCAGTGCTACCTAGGATTATTTAATATTTCTAAGCCTTGGTTTTTATGTTCTACAAGGGAAACCATTCATTTAAAAAGTATTGAGTATTTCCCATATACCAGGCACTGTGGTAAGACTCTTGAAATTAATCCGAACGAAACAGGCTAAACTCCCTGTCCTTGTGGAATTTACGTTCAGGTGGGGGTAGGCAGAAAATTATTTTAAATGATGAAATTTACATTGTGGTTGGTAGTGATAAGTGCTACTGAGAAAAATGAAACAGCAAAGAGAATGCTAGAGGTGGGTGTGTGGGTGGATTTTAATTTTTTAAAATAGAGTGATAGGAAAGGCATTCCTTAGAAAAAATATCTTGCAGACTCGTTAATGGTCAGTAGTAACATATATAAAGCATCTAACAAAGTGCTTTATATAGTAAATTCTCAATAAGTGGTTTTAATTATTATTATGAAATAAAACTAGATCATTTAAGAGAATTTTTAGAGAGGAAATTAGTTTCGTTTTGTAAAAATAGACTTCCAAATATGAGAAACAGTTTTCCTATCTAAGTAAACTGCACTGGCAATTCAAGGACTAAAAGTGACCTAGGGAACAGTTTTATTTTGCCTTTTATGTTTTTAAAAAGCATTGTGTAACCCTTATACTTGATCCACATCACACATTTTTTTTAAATGAGTCCCTTATATGCTTTGGGGTTTCTACCTCTCGCCTGTGGAATGAGCATAGAGGACTATTCATGTAGTAAACTCTAATGTAGTAAAGTACTTCCTGAATTGGAGGCACTGAACCTGCTAATTCTCACCTATTGTCTTTTCTCTCTTCTTCACTTGAACCTGTACCTCAGGAGATACAACTCAAGACTTTGTTCATTTAAGGAGCATTTTTTGAGTTCTTTTTGCTTTCCTAGTCATGATGATACAAAAGAACTGAAAACTATTGTCTTGTCCTTTTACTGTGTCTCGTATATGGCGTGTTCTTCCATTTAAAAAACACTCTGAGTAAATACTATGTCCTAGATACCGGCATATTAAGATGTACAAAAACAGACAGTGTTCATGTTGACTTGGAGTTTAAAATCTAGATTAGACTCTGGTATATTTGAATATTTATCAAGATGTAAGATTTTATTCTACTAAATATCATTAACTATTTTCTTCATATTCTAATCTATTTCTGTTACATAAAGAATAGTTTAAGAGATTTATAAATTCTAAACTCTAATATAGTCTTACTAGTAGCAAGCAATGCCATATTGACTTATACTTTAGGTAGCCAGCCAAGTTACTTCCTTGTCAGCTAACAGAAATTTTTAAAAGTTTCTGTTCTTTATGGCTTATACCTTGCTATTCTTTAATGGTCTGCATTGGTAAAGTGCTTTTTTTCTCCATTTAAAATTAAAAGTAAAATTTTGAGCATTAAATAGAAATTTTATTTTGTATCTCTCCAAAAGATGGCTTGACAGCATCTTTCATCAAATGTTTATTGCATTTCAACTGTGTGCAAAGAAAAAAAAGATATTTTTAAAATGTGATTCCTGCCCTTTAAACCAGTAGAAAAAAACAGTCCGTGGACTTTAAAGGGTAGTACACTACAAGAAAATTCGTGCAACGTCAGGAATCTCAGGCAGCTGGGCTCTTCAGGGAAGGCCTTCTGTCAGAGGTCCTTGAAGGACAGGTAGACAAGGGAGAGGGATATATAACCGGCAGGGAAATGTAGGGTAATAGAAAGCTGTGGAAAAGGCCAAATGATAGGGTTAGGAGATCTTGATTTGAGAGTGTGAGAGTTTGTGTTTGATTATCTAGGGTAGTAGTCTTCAGTCTTTACTATGTTCACTTCTTTCATTTTCAGTATTCCCATTAATAATGTCTCTTGGGGAGCCATACTGAGATAGGAACAGAATTGTGAGGGCAGAGAGTATTAATTAATGTAGTTACTGGAGGGAAGTGAAAATAGTTGTTAGGTACTTACTTACTTGGACTTTTGAAGTATTTGATTGCCTTATGTAAAAGATAGGAAGATTTGCATTATTTTTGCCTTCTGGGTGCCTGTTCTCATGCTACCTTTTGATATTTTTGGCCAAGTTTCCGCTCATCTTTATTTCTTCACTTCCATAGTTATTTAAATTTTTTTGAGACATTTATGAGCAGTTTGATACTCTTCTTAGTGTTCTGTATTCAAGCATCAGCAAAATAGTATTGTAGTGGCTTGTTGGTGGTATAAATGTGTATATTGATATCTTTGAATGTTAAAGTGACAAGTTCTTAGCACCGTCTGTAAAATGACAGCATTTTCTCATTACAGTTGCAAATACATTTTCTCTGTTCTTGAGTGTACTTTTTTTGGTCAATTCCTTTTGCTTATGGAGTGACTTGTTTGGATTCTGTATCAGAATAATGTTTTTTTTGGGCCGGCCTGGTGGCACACTGGAGAGTGCGCCGCTTGGGAGCGCGGCGGCGCTCCCGCCGAGGGTTCAGATCCCATGTGGAGACCGGTTCCCGCTCACTGGCTGAGCGCAGTGTGGGTGCAACACCAAGGGTTGCGATCCCGTTGCTGGTCCCCAGTACGGGCGTGACACCGACGGTTGCGATCCCGTTACCGGTCAGTAAAAAAGACAAAAAAAAGGGAAAAAAAAAAAGAATAATGTTTTTTTCATCTCTTTAGTTTTTATGTGTCCCACTTCTGTATTCTTTTAACTCTTTTATAGTGGTTATGACTTTGGCTACTTAATCAAAATCCTGACCAACTCTAACTTACCTGAAGAAGAACTTGACTTCTTTGAGATCCTTCGGTTATTTTTTCCTGTTATTTATGATGTGAAGTACCTCATGAAGAGCTGCAAAAATCTCAAGGTAAGTTTTCTGGTGACATTATCTACAGTCAGCACACTATTCAGACCTAGTCATTGACCTAAGATCCTAGGCTGGTGTGTTGTTTTAAACCATTTTTTTGAGTTTTGTATTAAATGCAGTCATATAATCTGGTCATGTGATGCTTTTTCTTGCATACATAGTAATTTATGGGAAATCTGTTTTTAAAGCTTCAATATATCTTGGCAGAGTAAGTTTTGAACAAAATTCAAGCTAAGGGTCAGATTTTTGCCATTGCTTGCCAGAGTGAAAATGATGAACCAGAGCAGAAATGTGAAGACTGACTAGTATGGCTGTCCTGTGCACAGAAGTGCAAGTTCTCACTCTCCCAGTGCACACAGAATCTAGCCATCTGAGGTAAAATCTGAGGTGGCCAGCGACGTGCAGATGTATTCAGTAGTATGGCAAAAAGAATTTTCCCCTTCAGTTTATCTTGGCTAGAGATTATTTTGTCAGTTTGAGTCATAGGATAATGTTCATAGGAGTAAATGACATAACCAAAAGATTTTTTTTTTCCTGGCCAAAAGATGTCAGCCTGTTAGGGATAAGTGATGTAGTAAATATGTAGGTCCCACCTAGACAGGAGCTTTCATTCTAACCCTGCTTGACATGTGTGTAATAATTTTTTACTTCTGAACATTAATTCCTTCAAAAGGAAAGTTTCTTTGATATGGAAAAGTTCTCCTTCACTTTGAGAACAAATTCACCTGTGGTAGAGCAGACCCCTGGGAATATAATGGTTTTATTTTTTTTAAGTGTATGTATTTTAAAAAAGAAACAAAAACACATTTAAGTAATGTGGTTGCTTTATAGAATGTGCATTCTCTCTTTCTTCAGTGAAACCAACGTTGATCAAGTTTTCTCCTTACCAGGTTTTATTTATTTATTTATTTATTGTCTTTTTCCTGACTGGTAAGGGGATTGCAACCCTTGGTGTGGTGTCACCCACATCGCGCTCAGCCAGTGAGCGCACCGGCCATTCCTATATAGGATCTGAACCCGCGGTGGGAGCGTCGCTGTGCTCCCAGCGCCGCACTCTCCCGAGTGCGCCATGGGCTCGGCCCTCCTTACCAGGTTTTATTTATTTATTCATTTATTGTCTCTTTCCTGACTGGTAAGGGGATTGCAACCCTTCGTGTGGTGTCACCCACATCGCGCTCAGCCAGTGAGCGCACCGGCCATTCCTATATAGGATCTGAACCCGCGGTGGGAGCGTCGCTGTGCTCCCAGCGCCGCACTCTCCCGAGTGCGCCATGGGCTCGGCCCTCCTTACCAGGTTTTAGAAGTGCAAGTAAAATTACACTTTTAAGAGATAGTAAGGACTTTAAGGGCTTTGCTTTTAAGCAGAAAAAAACATAGGAATTGAATAAGGAAACTTTTGCTTTTAACAAATGAACTGGAAATTTTAAGAGAAGCAGTTTTTTGGCTAAAGTTTGTTTACCACTAATACAAGATATGATCAGCACATAACTGGGGATATTTTTAAGATTACTTTGTAGCACCTGAGAGCAGCAGAATTGTACATGTTTTGAGGAGACTTTGAGCAAGAGGAGTTGCAGTAGGATATCCTTACTACTCTAAAAACTCGGCCCATCCCTGAATGTATAACATACTGAGAATCCAAGGGCTACATGTTTTAATCTGGCTTTGGAAATGTTTTTTACAATTGACATGCATGTACAGTGACAGTTTTCAGTAACAGAAGGTCAAATTATTGCTCATTATGTGTATGTTATTGGGAAATTTCTAAGTATATAAGATATTCTGAAGATGTCCTGAGTGAGCTGCTGTGTTAAAATTTAGGTTAATGACAAAGGTGCTTTTTGACCTATAGTCAAGCATACTGTTCTGTTCTATTTTGTTCTCCTAAGCAGCTGCTTATGATACCTAATCTTCATCATATTTTTAGCATAGAAGCAACTGCAGTGCAAAGCCCTGTCTCGAGCTGTGGTCCAGAGAAGGGCTAGTTTGCTAGTAGAGGCATTAACAAATTAGAGAGGGATTTCTTTTTGTTAGTGATATTTGTTTCTTTCTTCCCCTACCATTCTCCCCTCTCTTTATTCTCTCCCTGCCTCTTTTCCTTCTTTCTTTCCTTCTCTCCTTAATTCTCTTTCGCTTACTTTCTTTCACTCTCATATTTACCTGTCACATGCCTTAAAACATACGATGATACATTTTCCGAATTAGGATCTTATTTTCTGTTAAATTACAAACTTCTCCCTTATTCAACAAATAAATTTGTAATTCACATTCTGTTTTTTTCCCTTATCTTCATAAGGTTTGTCTTTACTTACTAAAGTTCATTCATATTTTGGTCAGTGTCTAAGTTTGTAATTTGTGAATTCAGGCATTGCAGTGTTTCCTTTCTTTGACCTGCAATTTTTATTCCTTCTAGGGTGGATTACAGGAAGTTGCTGAACAGTTAGAGCTGGAACGAATAGGACCACAGCATCAGGCAGGATCTGATTCATTGCTCACAGGGATGGCCTTTTTCAAAATGAGAGAAGTATGAAGACATTAGTGTCTTTTTCTCAGTTCTTAGGTTGAGAACATTAAATATCTTAAGATAAAAGTTTTTGGGCAATAAATACCTACTAAGTGAAATATAATTTAGAGGTACCATATAAGTCATATCCACCACACTTGACTCAGAGTGTTCAAAAAGAAGTCACCTTGAAATGTAGTTCAAAAGGAAATGGAAGAATAAGTTCTTCATAGAATAAAAAATTAAAAAATTAAAAAAACCTTAGGAATCACGTAAGTCCAACCATATTACTTGCTTAGGTGACGAACAGGCCAGAAGCTAGTAACTTTTATCCAGGGTCAAGCACATTACTAGTGAGAGAACTCAAGTTCTTTCTGTAGACTGTGTCAGTGCTGCTTCTGCCAAGTCAAGGAATCCATACGTTAGGTTCCCCTAGTGTGGCCTTCTGTTAGGCTTTAAACTGGTGGTAAAAACATTATTTGCTCCTGCCATTCTTCACTGCAGATTGAAGATTTTGTAGAGTAGGACTCATACTTTTTCTTTTACTAGATTGAGTCTTACAAAGGGGTTTTGAATTCTGAAGGAGTAAATAAACCTGGAGTAGCAATTCAATCAAAAACCATTCTGGGTAGATTTTCCTTAAGTGGCAAAAGGCAGAGATCAGTTCCTCACATATAAAAAAGTATGACAGAATGAAATTTAACGAACTCAAGTTTACTGTTAGGTTATCTAATTAAGTGATATATACAGGTATATCTCACTGTAGGTAAACACAAAAGAAAATCAGCTGTGTAAAAACAAATAGGATGGACTTTGCCTATAAAAAAGTTTTCCTTTTTGCAAAATAATTGCTCTGGAATTCTTTTGACTATATATTCTCTTAGACATTAAAGAATTGACAGGAAATTTAAAACTTTTCGTAGAAATATATTAATATTAAAAAGCATTAAAACTGTTTTGCCAAGTAGTACTGATCTGAACAATCTTCTGATTGATTCAGAAGTGATTTGGACTGTCCGTTCAGAAGAAGTAAATATTTTGTACTACTTCTCAGTGCTTCTTTAGAGTATTACAACAACTTTTTGGATTTTTCAGGTTTATATTTTAAAAGTGCCTTACTGGTTTAGTTGTGGATTTCTACACTAATTCATTATCTTTATTTTTCTTGGCTTCTTCAAGGACAGTAATCTAGTGTAAATGTTCAGTTTTTTCTGACCATGACATGTTTAGGGTTTGATTATTTTTAGCCAGTTCAGCCTTGCACATAGATTCAAAGCAACTTTTAAACATAAACATTTTTTTCTGCCATCATTGGTTATTTTCATTCATTCTTACTGTTGAGTATTGTTAAATTAATGGAATAAAAATGTCTACCATTTTTCCATGATTACAAATTCACATAAAAGTGGTCTACATGTTAATGAGGAATACATGCATTTATATGTTTTTTTGTAGTCTTTTACTTTGGTTTCTTTCGAGCTCTGTACTAATTGAGGACATCAGTCTTATTCATTGAACTTAAATGTGTGGCCTCAAAGGAACACCATAGAAAAGAGCTGTCATAGTTAATGAATAGTCAGTACTTACATTGCTGTAATCTAAATTGTAAGTGGTACCTTTTGGTTAAAATTGTCTTTTTTTTCCTTCAAAATTCCTTTTTAGATGTTCTTTGAAGATCATATTGATGATGCCAAATATTGTGGTCATTTGTATGGCCTTGGTTCTGGTTCATCCTATGTGCAGAATGGCACAGGGAATGCATATGAAGAGGAAGCCAACAAGCAGTCATGACATGAAATATTTCTTTTATTTTTATTTTATTTGAGCTACACACATGCTTGTATATAGGTTTTATCTCTGGTTGAATTCCTTGGACAATAGACAGTACCTTTTATTTCCCTTTTATAGCCCATTTTATTTTCTGCCTTTCAGTAGTAAGTATGACCATTCCTATCTCAGATCTTAATAAATAGAAATGCATTCAGGTTAAATTTGGCCTTAATTTAATATACTTCTTAGCAAGCGTGTGTGACAGAGAGTGGGGAAAGCTACACATCATATTGAATATTTTGATAAACTTCACCCATGTAAGTTTGGTTCGTTTTTCCCCTTTCCTAAATTAACTAGCACTGACTATAATTTATTTCCCTGTTTCATGTCTCTCCCTTCATTCTGCAAGAGTTTTAGCTATTTGAGATTGTGGACCATCAATTTTGCACTTTAGAGAGTGATTCTGAATCAAATCCTCTGTTTTATCAGAAATTTGGTTTTTCTTGCTCTTAGCTGGAAAAATAACTATCTGCCAACTTTCTACAGTATTTACTTGTTTTTGACCCATAGAATAAATATAGCACATTCATTGTGCAAATTGTTGATTCAGCAAGACTAACAAAAAAAGACAAGAAACTACTGAGGAGCTTAGTAACTGCTGTTTGTGTGCGTAGTGTTTAATCTTCCAGGCACATCTGTGTCTGTCAGTTTCTAATTGGCATGTGTAGGCTGCTCTGTGAAGAATTTTCAAACCAGCTTTACACCCTTCAGGAAAAATTCCTTGTGATTGGTTATTTAGTATCTGCCAGGAAATTGGTATTCAAGATGTTAAAGCTACAGTTGTTTTATGATAGCACACTTCCCTTGATCTGCTTTTTATTCAACATCACTGTTTACCCTTATTTTTTTTTTATTTTATAGCCATACTTATGATGCTGTTGATTTGTTGATTATACAAATCAATTTCATTAAAATCCAAAGATAACAAGTTTTTAGGTATATTTTGTACCAAATTAAAAGACAAAAATTGTGCTTTCATAGTTGCTACAAAGATAAATAATGGAGACATTTGGTGCAAAACAACAACAAACAAAATATATATATATATATAGCTAATAAAATTACCTGAGGCGTGTAATGCTTGTTTATTTTTTTGTGTATATCTTTGCAATCTATTTTATATATATTGACAAAAGAGACTGTGAAATATTTAGCCATGCAGAATATGTGACCAGACCAGAGCATGTGTAGGAAGACTCTTTGGTAATCATTAATTCCACCCTGAAATGATGGGAATACAAGTTATCGTGTGTTATCTACACTTCAATTGGTAATATTAGCAAATCTCCAAATGTTAGCCACATTGGTTTGTTTCCCTTGTATATTCTTATTCATGATATTACAATGCTGTAACTGGGTGGTCCTTTTTAAACAAAACGTTATTTGCAAAACAGAGGGTATTATTTGTTTTTAAAGCTTTTGTAAATAAAGGCTTCAGAAATGTTTTCTTATATATGTTGATGACTGGTGACTTTGTTTTAGAAATATTTATTTGGGAGATACTGTTTTATTTGGAGAACTGAACAGAACTTAGAATTTCTTCATTAACAATAGGTGATTATTACTCTTTTAATTGAAAAATAAATCTGAGCCTTCTGCATTTCAACAGTGTTGGCTTATTCGTGCTCTTTATGAGTACCTCAACTAGATAATTGTGAACTGATTTCTGTTTCTTCTTTCCAGGAACAGATTTATTCTAAAAGACTTACAAAGTAAATACAGTTGTTATGATTTACTGTGGCTTCATTTTAAAGGCAGACAATGAACCAAGTTTCTAATTGGTTTCTTTTCATTTTGATCTTCACCTCCTTAAAAAAAAATTGTAAAAGATTGCCTTTTTTGTAGCCACATAGTTGCTGAATTTCATAACTTGTATCAGTTTTGGTTTCTGTCCCTAAAAGTACAGTTGACCCTTGAACAACAGGGTTTTGAACTGGGCAGTGCACTTATACAGGGATCCCCACAGTAAATACAGTTGGCCCTCTATATCTGTGTGTTCCACATCTGTTAATTCACCAAGCCCCAGACTGAAAATACAGGATTCACAGGATGTGAAACCCGCGGATATGGAGGGCTGACTTTTCATACCCACAGCTTCCACAGGGCTGACTGTGGGACTTGGAACATCTGCAGATTTTGGTATCTACTGGTGGGGTGAGGTGGGGGGGTGTTTCTGGAATCAACCACAGATACTGAGGGACAACTGTATAGAATTTTATAACTTCTGTAGAGGAACATTATGACCTTTTCTAAACCTAGCTTTTGGATATAAGATATTTGGCCTTTTTTTTTTTTTTTTTTTTTTTTTTTTACTGTTCCTGAGCCATTAATTCTGGACTCACCATAATTCTGTTAAACTTACTAAAGCAAAGGTCAGCAAACCTTGGCCTGTAGGCCAGAATTAGCCTGCTACCTGTTTGTGTGGCTGAGAATGCTTTTTAGTTTTAAATGGTTGGGGGTGAAATCAAAAGAATATTTCGTGATGTGAATATTATATGAAATTCAAATTTCAGTGTCCACAAATAAAGTTATTGGGATGCAGCCACAATAATTATGTATTGGCTATGGCTACTTTTTTCCTACAATGGGAAAGTTGAGTAGCTGCTACAGAAACTGCCTGTGGTGGTCTCATTGTTTTGCATTGCTGCTTGGCAAGCTACAGAATCACAGTGATACAGGTATAACCTGACATTTGGAATACCATGTGTATCACTGTACCAAAACATTGTATTTTTTCTGTTACTCGTTCATGCCCATTATGTCAAAACAAGAAAAGTACACTTTGAATGTTGTACATTGAGGGTACGTTGGAGCAGAGTGTGGATTTTATCATTATGTTTATGGTGCAATGACACTAACTGCTAAAAGAATACAATATATGTTGACATTACAAGACAATACCACAGTATTCCCAACTCATGGGGGAAAAAGTCAAAAGATTTAGAAAATTAAAAATGGAATATCTCATCATAGCATAATTTCTTAATGAAAATAAAAAATGTGAGGCTGCAACCAAAATATGTTTACAAGTGGCCAATTTGTCAGCCAAGTGAAGAAAGCCATTTACTGATTGTGAGTTGTATCATGTTTGAATGTAGTAGCCCAAAGAAATGCGGCCAGAGAAAATAAGACTCTTAGTCTTATGATGAGAACAGTTGCTTGAAGAGTGAGGCTGTTGGAAATAACATCAGATGATTTTTGAGTGTTTTTCTTTGGTTCTTAATGAATCAGATGTTATCAGTATTGCCCAGCCATATTCTTTGAGAATTCAATGCTGAGTTTGAAGTGACTGAAGTTAGTCTCTAATAGTCTGTGTGGAACAACTATAGGTAAGAATATCATTTGACTTCCAAATCATCAGGAAGTTCCAGCTTGAAGATCCCAAAGGGACTTGTACCTTATTAGCCATGTCTCACGTAGGTCTTCAGTGATTTTGATGGATACACATGTGGTGCCATACACTTTTTTTTTCCCTCTCTAAACAATAATTAACGTTAATTGTTAGCAGGTGTCTTAACATCTCTGCAAGCCTACGTATAAAGAGTAAATTAAAAAATCATTTCTGAGCTATACCTACGTATATAGACTTTCCTTCAGTTGGTTACAGCCATTCTGGGGCTCATCCATATTCTCTGCATCTTGCCTGAGTGTATATTTCTAAAGAACTTTAACATGGTTTGCCACGTTACCACAAGATTAGTGTGTAATTAAGATGGGGGTTTTTGGTTTGTTTTTTTTTTAATATTCAACTTCCACACAAATATTTTATTAGGTCATTTAAGATGCTTTTAAATAATGCGCTTTAGGGAGCCAAACCTACTGACAGGAAAAGGCATGAAAAATAAGCTCTGACCTTACTTTCTGTCATAGCTAAATAAAAATAGAAGAACAGAAGCTTTCCATGGTATCAAGTCCTTTAATTCAGCATCAACAGAATTCTACCTTGGGCCATTATGGTTTTTATCTCAATTTGATTAAGCACCTTTATCCGCCAAATAAGAACTATTAAGTATTAATAAATTCAAGTCAGGATTGAGCTCTTTACAGTGTTAAACCTTCCCTGGAAGATGCACCATAAATCATAGTTTGTCTTCATAAATCACAACATAGTACTGTCCTTTCTAAGCAATGGGGAGCTCCTTTATGTAGCATAAACCAGAGTTTAAATTCACTTGTTAAAAGTTCCCCTTTGGTTTAATTGGTACTCAGGAATAAGCCAACTCAGAAGATAGTCTTAACATACGTTTTTTCCCAATTGTAAACTAATAATTCATAAATACTGAATGCTGGCCACAGACAAGAACATCAAAGATCTTTGAACATTTGTCACCAGTTTTTTTTTTTTTTTCGTATTTTTTCTTTGCTCACTTTTCTCCAATGTGAATGGGCTGCAGTGATTTAAAGTTGTCTCTATTCGCTTTACCCAGATTATCATATTCAAAATTTTTGCTGGTATAAGAATTAGACGGAGTTGGAGATTAAGCTCTTAGTCACCTAGACTGCATTAAGGTATAGCATTCTTTACTCACATTTCAAGGGGACTTTGAGGAAAGAAAAGACAAATCCCCTCTTTCAGAGCCTTCTGCTACACGGCACATTGCGCTGGGAGATACTTCATGTTCAGTTTTTGATTCACAGGAGTTCCTTTGAATCAAGTCTACTTGAATTTATCCCTTCAATTATGTCCTGTTTACAAGTCAGGACACTAAAGAATAACAAACCCATCATGGGAAAGAGAAATGGAAGTGCAGGGTTTGCACCACTATAAAGTGTAACACAAATTCCTGTGTTCTGTAACAAAATAAGATCCTTTGGTAATAAATTGTAAAGGAAATTTTGTGGGGAACAAATTGCTCAATTTAAAAATCAAGACCTTGTTGCCAGAACCCAAAATTTTAGGTCCATGTACCCAATGCCCAGCTAAAGCCAAAACACTGAAACACCAGAGCTTAGAGATAGAAAAAGGTTTATTTGAATTGGCCAAAGCGAGAAGATGAGAGAGCAAACTCTTAGATCTGTATTACCATAGAAACAGAAGGCAAGGCGTTGTATGAGGCTAAGAGGTTAAGAGGGGAGTCTCAGCGAAGCTAAGGGAAGGTCTGTTTTCTCTGACTCGAGATAAGATCTTAGGCAACCAGGCTCCCTGGCGCCAGTGGCAGCTGAAGCTGAGTCCCTTCATGGTCGCCATGTCTTTGAGAACATTCATTTCTTTCTGCAAAACTCATGATTTCTCTTTGTGATTTTTGAGTCACCTCTTCCTGCTTTATGGAAAACCAGACATTGGCAACATAATTATATTATGAGAACAGTGGGTGCTGGGTGGAAAGCTAACAGCTATCAGCAAGCAAGTTTTATCCTCAGACCTTTAATTTTAGGCCACTATTAAATTTTAAAACTATTGAAATTTCAGAAGGCTTGTTGGCTTCAACTTCTCTAATGTTGGGATGTATTTAATGCTTTCAATAATGTTACATGATCAAATTGCTAAAATTTCAATAAAAAGTAGAACTATGAATTTTTACCAAGACAGGTTAAAAAATTCCATTGGAGCCCTTGTAAAGAGCAATAAATACTAAAGTGTATAACAGTCATCTTCCACATGTAAGAGGAAATATTGCTAAATTGGCTAAGTATGTGGGAAAGGAGTATAGGCTGCTAAAACACTGAGATTAGGGCAGGTGGTTTTCTAATTAGGAAGAACAAGTTTTCAGAGAAGGACCGACCCTACCTAGAGACAAATTCCTGAAAAATCCATTGCTGAATTGTCACTTTGGACAAAATATTAGATCAGAATTTGTGGAGGTGGGTAGAACGGTCATATTGGGGGACATCTTCATTATAGTTTACAATGTTAGTTGCATGGCATATACCATTTTCTGTGGTTTGCATATATATGTGGCGGGGAGGGGGGACAAACCTCATAAAAGTATCAGAACCATCACTTACAAGTAAATATGTAAGTATGTACAAGAATAGGCAGTATGACTTCAGAATCAGGCCAGCAAGTTTACATGTATTTCAAAATAGGGAAAATCTGCTCGTAAATAATACAACGGAGTAACACTTTTCTCATGTTTTCCTGAAGCATGAATGACATGATTGCTAGCTTACATTTTTAGAAGCATGGTTTATAAATCCTTAGCATTCGATGACCCTAATGAAGATAGTTCCAGTTGTTGTCTACTGATTACAGTGTACTTGAACTTCAGTCTTGTTTCTAATTTTCCTCAGAATCATTTAACTACTAAGGAGTAATTACCTCATCCTCTCACTCCCATACGCCAAAGACCTATGTTATGACACATTGTAGACATGAATTTTGCAATTAGTACTTCTGGTAGATTATTAGGAAAAGTGTATCTTTAAAGTAATTTAAATTGTCTATGCAAAGGCAATTTCGTATAGACAGCTAGCGAAGGTGGTCAACCACTTTGCTAGGGTACACCAGGAGTGAATTTGTGGATATGCATTTCCTGGAAGGCCTTGTCATTGTATTTAGATGCAAGTGTTCTTTACTTTATCTTGGAAAAACAATCCTCTTCTACACAATAAGAGTTACCTAATATATATGAAGTATCTGTACAGTATTTTTAAATGAAAAGTTTCTTAAATCTTGATATGGTAAAATCTCTAAAAACAGGAAAAATCAAAATTATCAGTTCACTGGACAATCGGGAGAGTCAAAATATGTGTCAAGTTTGAGTTAAACCATTACATTTTTTAAGTAAAATGCTTAAAATATTTTTGAGGTACATCTTATTAATATGTACAAAATGCAGGTCTATTTATTTCATGCTTTGTTCACTCAGGTAATATTTATACTGCAGATCTAATGAGATATATAGCTATCTCCAAAAATTATAACCCCCTACTGTTAAAAACAAAACAAAAAAAAACTATTCACTGTATGAAAACAGAAAGGGAACCATTACAGCAATACAAAATTTTTTTATTTTTGTAAACTTTTTCAAATCTGATTCTAATGTGTATTGACTTATGTATTTAAATAATTACATAAAAGACCTAAAGGGGGAGAAATTAACAGTACTCTAGCAGGGTAAAGGATAAAAAAAAAAATTTTTTTTTCTTAGCTTCCAGTCTGGCAAGAGGGAATACCTAACAGAATTCTGTCCAGGAAAACAACTTACAGTACTGTGCTTTGCCAAAAAATCTGGCTGCATATAATTCTTAATACATCACATGTTGCTTTTGCCCTTAAGACTTCTAGCAGGAGCTACAGGTTCCATTCTGGCACTTCAGGTAATGAAAAATGACCCCCCCCCCCCAAAAAAAGTATCATTTCTTCTGAGATTTCTTGAAGCAGATTGTCGGATCAAACTTTTTAGCTTTAAAAAAAATCTGAAAAAGACTGCCTTCCTGTTGTTCAAAGAATTGCACTCGTATGAACTATGAAATAGACTTGGCTGACATTGATTCTTCCAGAAACACATTTAATATAAACTCTTTATATTTTTAGCAAGGATGAGTAATTGAAAGGATCTCTTACTGCATTATCCTCTGGTCTTCTAGTTTTTGTCTTAAAATTTTGTCTAACAAAGATTTTGGAAAGCTTATTACCATTTTCTCTTTGATTAAATACCAATTATTGTGTCATTTTAAATGGTAATCTATTTTAAATTCTCAAAATCAGTACCAAAAAAATATACAGCATATTATTCTAATTGTTAATATTTACAAAACTTATACACCATTCAAATAAAAAAGAAAAGAAAACCTTTTTCTTTTTTTAAATAGTGCATACAAGGCACAAGAGCTTCTTAGTATGTTTACTGAAGCTGAATATTTTGGCAGGAACACACACACCACTTTAGTTTATCTTAAATTTTCAAACAGCACACCATTTAATTCATGGTGAACTAAATCTCCAAAAGTATAAGATTTTTGTTTAATGATTTGCATAATTTAATCTTAAACTATACTTTTCTCAAATATCTATTAACTGTCATAGTTTTGATGAGAAAACACAGAAATAATATAGATATCACTGGAGGATTAAATTCATCAACCTATCAGGAATCCTTAATAGAAATTCAATATTTTTCTACATTCAACAGGAGAAATAACCTAAAAAGATTTTTAAAAATCCAAACCAACAAAAGAATGTCATAGGGCCGGCCCGGTGGCGCACTGCAGAGTGCGCCGCTTGGGAGCGCGGCGGCACTCCCACCGAGGGTTCGGATCCCATGTGGAGACCGGTTCCCGCTCACTGGCTGAGCGTGGTGCAGGCGCAACACCGAGGGTTGCGATCCCGTTTTGCCGGTCCCCTGTACGGGCGTGACACCGAGGGTTACGATCCTGTTACTGGTCAGTAAAAAAAAAAGACAAAAAAGGAAAAAAAAAAAAAAGAATGTCATAAAACAATCTCTGTAATTGTCATTGTAGATTTCCCCCCCAACTTAGGAGATTAGAAGAGATGAAAATATGTTTCTGATGTAATAGAAACGTATTTGTTCTGGCAAAAGTTTTCTAGCCAATTGCTTTATCAGTGAGCTCAGTCTTCAATGGTCATATGTATTTCCAGCAAGGAACAAAGGCTAGAATTAGATTAAAGTCTGGCAAAAATGGATGGTGATCTTCAACTGTAGGCCACTTGGACTTTGTAATGAATTCAGAGTTATTACAGTTCACTCAATCTGAGGCTGGATTCATTTCAGAGGGAAAAACAAAGAAGTTAATTTGCTACCTCCGCCGTCTTAAAGATAACTAATAGGTTTCACAAGTAAAGCTCACCATGATAATGTGACTTGAAATCTTTGAAATCTTAAACAATATCTTAGTAGTCTCAATTTCCTGAATCAGAAAATCAGATGATTAAAGGGTTTTTTATGTGCTAAACTGTGCTACCCAAATATTCAGATGAAAACTGGTCCATGAATTTATTTCAAGTTTTTGATAGAAGATATGGTCCCCCTTGATTCATACACCATAATTACTTTTAACATTTAATAGGAATTTGTGTTAGTTTTAACAATCTGTATATTAGGTCAAAAATGCATTGTGTTTTAATCAGTGGCTTGAGTAGAACTCATCAATCCACATTCTGCATATCCAGCCAAAGGCCAATGGCACCTTCCTGTGGGAAGCCTCTTCCATCCATCTACAGCACTGATACCTTGAAATGAAACAGAAAACATAAAATTGTGTTAACCATAAAAAAGAACAAAAACCCACAACTAACCACTCATTACTTGTTGCAACATTGTTCAAAACTGTTTTCTATGCTTGAAGCCTCAGTAGATGTGTTCTTGAATACACACCTCTAGATCAATGCTTCTCAAACTTTTCTTGGTTTCATTTTTAAAAATTATTTTTGTCCCCTTTGCCAATTCCCCCTTCCCCCTTTATCCCCCTTTTCCCATCCCCAGCAACCTCAGTTCTGTTCTCTTAAAAAGTTCAACGTATTATTTGTGACTATATATATATATTTTTTTCTTCATCCACATTGCTGTGAATGGCAGTATTTCATTCTTTTTTATAGCAGAATAATACTCCATTGTATAAATATACCACCTTTTCCTTATCCACTCATCTGATGATGGGCATTTAGGCTGGTTCCAACTCTTGGCTATTGTGAATACAGCCGCAATAAACATGGGAGTACAAGTGTCCCTTTGACATGATGATTTCCATTCCTTTGTGTATATACCTAGCAGTGGGGTTGCTGGGTCATACGGCAGTTCTATCTGCAATTGTTTGAGGAACCTCCATACAATGCTTGCCAAACTTTAATGTGCATATACAAGAGAGAATATTACTAAAATGAAAAAACTGCAAATTCTGATTCAGTAGGTTGAGGATAAGGATGAAGATTGTGCATTTCTATCAAGCTGCCAGGTGATGTTGCTGGTTTGGGTCCACAATTTGAGTGACAGGGTCTGTGCTGTTAGTTCTGTACTCACCTGAAGCCAAAAGGGATTTAGGAGTGGCAACTGAGTGGGAAGGGAGATTTAGGGAAATAATTTTGAAACTTCACATGCAAGAATTACAGCATTTTTTATTTATTTTGTGTGAGGCAGAAGGTTGGGTAATCTAAATTTAATCTACCTTTTAGCATTACTATGGATTTAGGTACATTATAACTATCCAGAAACTGTGTTGATCTAAAACTATTTTATAAAAAGGCCGCATAAGGGCTAGCCGGTTAGCTCTGTTGGTTAGAGTGTGGTGTTGATAACACCAAGGTCAAGGTTCAGAACCCCATACCAGTCAGCTGCCAAAAAAAAAAAAAAAGGCCACAGATCATTTAGTAATGTATCTCAAAAAGAAGAGAAAATAATATGAAGATATCTAGTAATAAAATTAGATTAGGTACATAAATATCAAACAATATTATTCAATGTAAATGTGTATTGAATAAATAACAAATGTGAGATGTAAAGCCGGAAAAACTGTTTTTGAAAGTCTAGTATTTACTAGCAACTTAGGAAATATTTAATTAAAAAACCAAAACATTTTACTGCTACAGGATATGTCAGTAGAATGGAAAATATTACATCAGAAAATTGCTTCTTTTTTTAGGTCTATGCAGCTGATTCATGCTGCCATTTGGTTATTATGACTACTTATTAAACAAGTTTCTGTGAGATTTTTAATTTCAATGATGTTATTTTATCACTTACCTATCAAGTGTTTATTGAGAACCTACTATGTGTCTAGTACTGTGTGAGGTATTGGCGATAGTGATGAACAAACATGACACTGGTCTTGTGTCAAAATACTGAGAAGTCTAGATGACTTATAGACAATGTTACTGTGCAAACACAAAATATTTAACACATAAGAAAAATTTGTAATAACAATGACTTTACAATGGTAATTATCAGTAATGATTCAAAATACTGAAAAAAAAAATCCTGTAAAATTGTATGTGTTTTACAGAATTATGTTCCGTGAAATATTTTATTTGCAGTATTGGCTAATGATTCATATTTGTATATTCATAGTTATATTCTAAGAATTATTCCCAGAAATTTAATAATGTCTCTTTGCTATTTAACCAATTCAAGATTAAATTTTCCCTATCCTAACCATAGTTGTGATCAGTCTGATCTACTTTACTATCATGTATTCAGAAGGGATCCTGGTCTTCCCAAAATCAAAATACTAGTCAACTGGCAGATTGCCAGATCAGCAAAATATTGATTACATGGCTACTCATAAAAATGAAAACAAAGCAAATAAATAAAAAACCAGATATCCGTGAAGTACTTTGACACAAATGATTTTGTTTTAGATGCAAATCTCTTGCTTCTCTTAGACTCTTAAGATTCTAGGTTGCAGTAAGAGTTATACTGATAACGTTAATCTTCAACTCATCATATTGAGTTTATTATAACAGTACATACAGTTGTTGTTTGTTTAGATGTTTATGGCTCTGTTCCAAAGGCACTCCTTACTGTAGCTTTTTATTGACTTCAGATTTATAAATAGATTATGTTTTAAAGAAACTGATTTGGAACTATAGGTTTAAAACAATTATGGTTTAAAGAAAATAATTTGAAAAACATATTATTTTAATAACATGCTACAAGGTCCTACTGTGACCAAAGATGGGGATGACCAAGGTTTGCATCAGCAAGATATAATTATCTTGTACTTGGACCCAGTGAGATTCTGCTAATGGACAGTCAAGGATATGATCATTGTATATCCTGAAGAATAGAAAAAAATAAAAACAATAAATTCTATGATCCTATGAAATGACAAGATAATTTTCATGTAAAGTTTAATATTTTAAGATCGGTATCTTCCACTTAATTCATTACTAGAAAAATAACTTTTTCTCATCAATTTATTTCTATAATTTATCAAATTAACCTAAATACTAGCTAATACTGAAGCTAGGTCCATGTCCAGAGGCCCCAGCATGATTAATGTGATCCCACAGGTCAGGTAAGACATATTCTATCGAGTAACTGAAAAATAAATAATGTTTATGGAAACTATTTGCCCTACAAAAACTGGAAAACTGTTAAAAATATTAAACAACAAAAGGGGAAAACTTATCTTACTCTTATAAACTATGAATGTATTTTGCTTGAAGATTTAAGTCTCATTCTCCATGGTTAATGCAGGATTGCTCAGACCTTAAAGAAAGAACATAAATAAGCAGTTTTTGGTTGCATTTGAACAAATAGGCAGAGACTTGGTTATTCATGTATGAATCCCCCAGTATACTTCCAAAGGTGCCTTGTACGTACTGTGGGTATCTATAAGAGGCACTGCTCACATCACCGTAAACCATGATTCCCAATTCTTCATCTACTACCTTGTTCTAGTCAAACCAATCTTTGAGCCCTTTCTCATCTCATCCTCATGTTTCTCTTCCTTCCTTTACATCATACTTTGAACTTTTTAATAGTTTCTCAAGTCATCAGCCAACTAACAGAAAAATTAATCTAACATACAAAATAATTAAAAGCACATAAAAATCAAGAAATAACTCCTATGTTAATGTAGGCTAAAGGTGAAACATGAGTCCCATCTGGAAGAAAGGGAGCTCTTGATTTTTCCACCCCCGACAATTGGCCCCCAACTAACCATACATCACTTGTTTGCCTCTAAGGAAACTGATGGATTCCAGGGGCAAACTGGCATCATCAATTTGTGTTTAGGCAATGCCTAGTCCTTCATATAGATTGGAAAGTAAAATGGAACATTTGAAGAAAAGACAAACCAAATTGTGAATACTCAAATATTGGGATCTTCAGAGAGCATATATATTCCTTAAAAATAAGTCTCCTTAAAGAAGGCTTACATTTTAAGAGAATATGACTTATTGTATATTAATGACTAGAATTTTTACTCAGGACTATCTGTTTGTTTTTCACTATCACTATATCCCAAAGAGATTTCAAATAAACAAGTAAATAAAGTTTAATGAGCCAAAATCAGGCAGCATGAGAGTTTGAAGAAAAAACTGGAAATGAAGGAGAAATGGTCTGAAGAATTAAAATAGTCAATCTGGAGATTTTCTGGCTAATAGGGTCTTAATTATGGATGTATGGTTTTGTACTCATTTATGGGACACCACACATATATCATCACATTATTTTGTTTAATCCATACCAACTCTGAGAAATAGGTCGTATTTTATTTTATTTTATTTTATTTTATTTTATTTTATTTTATTTTATTTTATTTTATTTTATTTTATTTTATTTTATTTTATTTTATTTTATTTTATTTTATTTTATTTTATTTTATTTTATTTTATTTTATTTTATTTTATTTTATTTTATTTTATTTTATTTTATTTTATTTTATTTTATTTTATTTTATTTTATTTTATTTTATTTTATTTTATTTTATTTTATTTTATTTTATTTTATTTTATTTTATTTTATTTTATTTTATTTTATTTTATTTTATTTTATTTTATTTTATTTTATTTTATTTTATTTTATTTTATTTTATTTTATTTTATTTTATTTTATTTTTTTTCCTTTTTTGTCTTTTTTCGTGACCGGCAACGGATCGCAACCCTCAGTGTCGTGCCCGTACCGGACCGGGACCGGCAACGGGATCGCAACCCTCGGTGTTGCCCCCGCACCTTGCTCAGCCAGTGAGCGGCCGGTCTGTATGTGGGATCCGAACCCTCGGCGGGAGCGCTGCCACGCTTCCCAACCGGCGCACTGTAGCAGTGCGCCACTGGGCCGGCCAATAGGTCGTATTTTAAAGATAAGAATGTTAAGTCTAAAAGAGGTTAGGGTTAGGTAATTTAATGAATACCATATACTAATAGGTGCCCAAACTGGGATTTGAAATCAGGTCTGTCTGGCTTCAAAACCTTGCTCGTTCTAGCAAGAGAAATGTGAGTGGGATATGAAGACACCACAGGTGAAGTTATGGTAACTATGCTATGACTTTACTTAGATATTTTGAATTAGGATAGCAATCTTACAGTAAAAGACAGAAATACATAATTTAAGATTCTTTTCAGCAGATATTTTTCAATCTTCCATGCTAGTTGATTTCATTTCTTATATTTTATATTTTCAACTTATTTCTCCCATTTTGTTTAATGTGCAGTAATAAAGATTTGGTTCATTAAACTGGAAAAAGAAATGTAGATCCATCTTTCACAAAATGATTTTCTACTGCTAACAGATATTAATCAAAGTACCTCACAAATAGAAGTTCTTTAAAAATAATTCAAATTTACAATGGGAATCCATCTCCAAATTTTAAGAAAAATTCTGTAGGTAATGTAATGAATTTTTTTTTCAGCACTTTCACCTTTTAAAAATAAAATATGTCGGGGCCGGCCCGGTGGCGCACTGCTACAGTGTGCCGCTTGGGAAGCATGGCGGCGCTCCCGCCGAGGGTTCGGATCCCACATACAGACCGGTTCCTGCTCACTGGCTGAGCGAGGTGCGGGGAGCAACACCGAGGGTTGCGATCCCATTGCCGGTCCCGGGCCGGTACGGGCGCGACACTGAGGGTTGCGATCCGTTGCCGGTCATGAAAAAAGACAAAAAGGGGAAAAAAAAAAAAATAAATAAATAAAATAAAATATGTCAAAAGAAAGCTAAACAAGCATGTCCTTACCAGCTCTGCCTTTTCCCAGGTTTGTGCTGCTCTCTGTCCAGGACTGAGAATCAGTAAGAAGGTGGCTCTGAGACTCTCTCAATGGCTTTGCAGGAAATTGATGGTTTTCGGGACTGAATAATAATAATCATCATCATCAGAAGTTAACTCTTAAGTATGGAACTTAAAATACCTTATGATTCAAGATGACTGTAGGAGGTACCCAAGATAATTTGGGGAATACGAGAACAAGGCATTAAATAACACTGACTGAAAATGAGAAAAGTCTCTCTTCAGTCTCTTTTCATTCTTGAGATTACAATAAGATGACAATCTGTAACTCTGGCAAATCTCTAGTATTAAATACAGAGAATAGTCCTCAGCATCAGACTTTAACAGGTAGAGGAATCTACTTAGAATTTAATAATAGTGTCTTATTATCAGTTTTATTTTTTTACAGTTATATTCTATTTAGGGCAAATTATACTAGTTTCTCATTTATGACGGTGACAAAGTTTGGTTTAAAAATAAGTTTAAATGCCAACTTTAATATATTAAAGAAAAATATTAATTTTATAAGTGATGTGTGGATATGGAAAAAATATATGAAGGTGATAGTAGGAAGACAAGTTTTAGAAAAACCATCCTTGTATTTCTAAAGTGATCTAAATTGCCTTGAAAAATAATTTTCTCTCTTTCTCTATAAAACTGAAAAAACAAATTTGAGCACTATCTTGCAGGAATGTTGAGAACATCTGACATTATCTTACAAACCTGATGTTCAGTTTGGGAGTAAGAAGTCTTAAAAGAAAAATTTCTTTTAAAATTTAAGTTTTAAAATTTAGGTAGACATGCCACAAATCAATATACTGGATGGTATGAAAGAATACATAAAATAGTATTTCACTTAGGAAAAATCATTGACATAGAAACTATTAGTAAAGTTTTAGAATATCCTGAAACAGTAATTATAATAATGTTAAAAAAAACCCATTAAAAATCTTCCAAGAATAATTTCACATATTTTAGTTGAATGTAACTATTATATTTTTTAAGGATATAAGGATATGCTTTTGCTCTGTAATAATTACCTCATATATAAAATTTTAGAATATTTCAATTTTATGCAGCTTTAACAACTCCTTATTAAAATTTTGGAGATAAATACTTAAAAATAAAAAAAGAGCATGTCTCCACACAGGCTTATACCTATTCCTATGAAAAATCTCTTTTACTTTAATTCAAATTATTCCTCAAGAAAGGGACCATATAACAAATACAGGATACTAACCAGGACCTGCTTTAAGGTCTCCTTGCAGAATCATTACTTCTAATAGGACTCTAACAAGTGGCAAGGATCCATTCCTTCAACAGCATTTATTGAGCATCTATTGCATCTATGAACAATGTCTTTGCCCTCATGGAAATTTCATTGTAATTGAGGAAGAATAATAAATAAATACATAAGTCAGGTGACAACAGAGCTGTGACAATAGGATAAAAAAACAATTCCAGGGGAAGCAAAGGAGCAGGTTACTATTTTACAAAGGGCTTTCAAAGATTGCCTCCACTGTGAACTTACAACTGAGCAGAAAGTGAATGAGAAGGCACAGACTGTTCAGATATCCGGAGAAAGCACGGTCAGGAAGGGAAACTGGCAAGCACAAAAGCATTACATAAGGAACATGCTTGGTACATCTGAAGAACAGCAGGGCCGGCCCCGTGGCGCCCTCAGGAGAGTGCGGCGCTGGGAGTGCAGCGACGCTCCCGCCGCAGGTTCGGATCCTATATAGTACTGGCCTGTGCGCTCACTGGCTGAAAATGGTGCGGGCGACACCACACCGAGGGTTGCGATCCCCTTACCAGTCACGAAAAAAGACAAAAAAAAAAAAAAAAAAAAAAAAA